AATTTCTACTACAATTTCACCAAAAAATGAACTCTAAAAGAAAAAGGAAATGAAAAAGTATTAAAATAGAAAACAGTAAAGCAAAATACTCATGTAGCCAATTAACAACGTGTGAAATACTCGTACTGAGTAGCTGATCGGATTATTTTCGACAATTTGTGGATTCAATTAACTTAATTACGAGTATATACTCCCTCCGTTCCGAAAAGGTCCGCCAAAATTGACTTTCACGTGGATTAATAAAGTAAAAGCTGTGTGGTTGAAATTTGTGCAGAGGAGAGAGAATTAATTTTAGGCACATATTTCTTACTTTAAATAGAAATGACAAATCTTTTTGGGACATCAAAAAAAAAGAAATTTGGCCAACCTTTGCGGGACGGAGGGAATATATGAATTTAATTGATGTTTTATTTAAATAACATAAATTTATTATTTGACAGTTTTCGCATAATTTTTCCTCATAATTTTTTGAAATTATCAAAGTGATCGTTTATAGTTTAAGAGTCCGTTTGGAAAGATTCAAATCGGCTGAATCGACTGATTTTACTGAAATTTATGAAATTCTGGCTGAAGTGGTTGTATTGGATGATTCTGTTGATTTATGAAAAAATTATATTTAAAATAAGAAGTATATTGCATTAATAAAACAAAGAAAAAATTATATGTAAAAATAGTTAAAGTGGTCATCTACAGTAACTTCAATCAAGCCAGAAAAGTAACTTCAACTTACTTTTTGTTATCATTACGTATCAAAGGTTATGTATTCACATTTTAATTGATTTTTATTCACATTTTATCATTGCTTTTATATAAAAAAATATAAGGTCACATCAGGGTGAACCGTGTACGATTGGCTTAAAAATAGAGAAAATATCTTTTGTGCTCCATAACATATATTGAGTGATGACGCTAATGAGTACTCCCTCTCTCTCCGTCCCCTTTTAAATGTCCCATTTTACCATATTGGGATGCCCCTCTTTAATTGTCTCATACTTTATTTGATAAAGTTTGTGTGGCTCAAAATCATTCTTACTTTATTCTTACTTTATTCTTACTTTATCTATTAAGATCAATCACACAAATCTACTTTTCTTAAAACTCGTGTCACTCTCTTCCGGGACATTTAAAAGGGGACGGAGGGAGTATTCTTCAACTTCTTATCATTCCATTGATTTTTATTACAAGTATAAGATTCAACACCCCTAACATTGAATGAAGATATTCTCATAAATCTGGAAATGGACTTCCCGTGTATTCCAACTTTTCAATAAATTAATATAAATTAGGTATACTTTGATCACTAAGGTGGGTGGACAACATAATACCATTCATAAGCTCTTAGGTTTTTGCAACTCAGGAAAACTACAAGCATCAAAGGTTTATAATCTATTGCGAATGAAAGGGCATAGTAAACCATGAATGAATTTGATATGGAAGAATTATATTCCGCCAAAGTTTTCTTTTATCCTCTGGTTGGGACTTCGGAATAGAGTTGCTACGTGTGATAATATTCTGTATATTGACTTGGACATAAATTGCTACTTTTGTAAAGACCATTTGGAATCAACAAACCATCTTTACTTTAATTGCTCCTTCACTAGAGTAGTTTGGAAGGGAATCAAGAGTTGGTTGAACATCACAAAAGATACCACCACTCTTCCTAGTACCGTCACGATGTGCATCAAACAATACAAAGGTGCAAGGTTCACAGAACCTGAAATAAGGTTGGGCCTCTGATGCACACGGGAAAAAAGCCGACCATCATTGGGCCGACTGAGTCACCGTGATTAACGTCCTCCCAAAAATTCTGTCGGGTCGGGGTATGGGGGGTTCCTGGGGTGGGAGATTCCACCTTTTTGGACCAAGTGCAAGGTTAAAGAGCAAGGTGATACGGCTAGCTTTTTGCTGTGTTGTTCACTCTATTTGGAAGGCTCGGAACGACTACATTTTCAGTCAAAAATCAGTAACTGTTGAGGGCGTAGTATCACAGATAAGATTCCTTGTTTACCGTGTATTGTTTAGGATTTATTCCGCAAGTATGATACGGAGTAGATTTTGGAATTTCTTTTTAGTCGAATGCTTTTGGGTGTTTCTGTGTTGCGTGTTGAATGTATAATTGCTAAGCAAAGTTTGTTTTGCTTCAGATAGATAGGGGCTAGCCATGTAAACAGTACATTACTTTGCCATTTACTCCGTATATATTTACCTTCTATCAAAAACAGATATTCTCATACAATATCAACTCTTCAAATGATAAAACTTAATGAGCCTGTTTGGTTTAAAGAAAATCGGTTGTTCTAGCTGATTCTGCTGAAATTTATGAAGTTCTGGCTGAAGTGGCTGCATTGACTGATTCTGGTGATACAAGAAAAAAATATTTTTAAAATATATTTTATTAATAAAATAAAGAAAAAATTATATGTAAAAATAGCTAAAATGGTTATCTACAGTAACATCAGCCAATACAGTCAGAAAAGTAACTTCAACCTTACTTTTTCGGCTTATTACACAATTCAGTGCGCGAAAGCAAATTTTACGTGTTTGGTAAAAAAGTTGGCTGATAAACCTGATAAGCCGAAAATGAGGTTTACCAAACGACCTCAATATATTAATCATCAACTAGTGCATATGGACCTGGCCTACTCCTTTTTTATGCAAAGAATCGCTTAATAAAACAAAATGATCTATTGGAGTGTAATTTTGTTAATTTTGTTCGTCCCTAATCAGAGGGTGAACATCATCTCCTTAGTCCTTATCTCCTTTGTTGGCAAGTGGTATTCCATTTCCTTTTTTTCTTTAAACTATAATACTTTTTTATTTGTTCTTCGTTTTTTATAAAAAATACCGTATCTAATTAGTTGTCTCGTTTGCTTTTTACGGAGTTTTAAGATAATTATTGTACACTTTATTTGAAGTAAGAGATTTTTGATACTGTAGCATCACTGTAGTGGTACTGTAGCTGTTTTTTGAATGAGTTTCTTTCCAAAAAGGAAATGAGACAATTAATTCGATACACCCAAAAAAGAAAGTAGGACAACTAATCGGATACAGAGAGAGTAATTTAGTAAGATCTTTCCAATGATATTAATATTGTATATAAAAATTGCAGAAAAATTGTTTTTTCCTAAATATTTATTTTAGATGGAATTTTTTAAAATTTTTTACATGTATAATGGTATCATATGAAGGATCATTATTATTTTTTGATATATTTCTTACAAATTTTGGATTAAAAATGAAAAAATTAAAATAATTGTTAAATAATTGCCTTGCCACATGGCAAGCAATTAGGTGGGGTGAACATCATCCTCTTTTGAGAGGGTGAACAAGTTTGGTTTTGATCCATTTGATAAAAAATAAAGTATCGATAGTGACATGAGTATGTGTCCGTTTAAAGTGCAAATTTATTCGTTTAAACTTTCACTTTCCCTTTTGATAAAAAATACTCACTTCGTTCCATTGGACTTTGTCATTTTTTGTTGCCCTAAAAAACTTTGTCACTTTTCTATCAAAATAATTAATTTGTGGTTCTGCTAATTTATCTTTCCTCTGTACAAACTTCAATCACGTAATTTATACTATTCTTATTTTTCACCTAATTCAAAGTGTGAAAAGTCCATTGGGACGGAGGTAATATGCGTTTCGAAGCATTTCTTATACATACTTACACATTTATCTATCCTCCACAACTCTCCACCGTACTACCTCCGTCCCCTGATATTGGACGCAGGAGGGTGTTGTGGGTTTTAAGAAAAGTAGAATTATGTGGTTGATAATGAGTTGATAAAATGAGAATAAAGTAAGAATGAATAAGACTCACACAAATGTTACCAAACAGGTGCCGATTTATAACCTGACAGGCGCCGATTCACAAACCAATCAGAGTAAGACACGTCTCCAGGAGCGTTTGAGAAAACACATGTCACGCTGAGAAACAAAGCCCAGCAATCATAACGACTATGAGGAAAATCAAACGACAACCGCTAGTGGGCCGTAAAATCAGGACATCGGGACCCGACAAGATCCTATACACGATTGCCGAACGACATATAACCTAATCATTATGATTACTTAACCAAATTATTCTACTTCCTTATGCCCTCACTATCGTTCGAGACATCAAAAGTGGGAGACTCGTGTTGGGATATTGGGCCGAAAGCCCAATATACCAGGTCCATTAGTCAGCAAGGATCCAAAGAAGAATAGACCCAGTAACTAGTTATACCGAACGGAATCCAGGGAACCATGAGGGATTATACCCCGAACGGGATCGAGTCATGCAGGTAAAGTTGGACCAGATTAATAATGATAGCAGCAAGGGCATCGTTCTGAAGCCCGAACGGGTAGCCTGCAAGTGGCAAGGGGCATTTAATGCTAGGGTATGGCGTCAGCAAGTGGGAGTATGAGCATCCAAGTGGCTCGAGAACGGCAGCAAGTCAGATTCAGCCACGTCATCACCCCCATCCCTTTTTATTAGTATAAATAGGGGCTCTAATCCCATTGTAAAGGTTTAGCATTTTGAGACTCAAGGCCTAGAATAGCTTTCTCATTCTTATTATTGTATTATCACTATTCTGACGTACCGTTCGAAGAGTTTCATGTGTAATCAACGGAATTGCTTAATACAAGTGGGCTTTTGGGCATATTATTATTCAGTTTTTATATTTTCTTAGACCTCGACTTATTTTCCATATCCTTAATATCCAAAGCGTGTGTTGGGCTTTCAAATATGTGAGACTTAAATAGGTGTAAAAAACTTTTGAAATTTCAAAATACGAGTATTATGTTTTTTATTCTTTGTATAAGAGTAAATTTTTGCCAAATTTGACATTACTAGGATTTAAATATGATATTTTTTTAAACTTGACGGATTATTCATATTCAAGAAAATAAAAAATATAATATTACTATTTCGGAATTTCGAAACGTTTTTGATGCTATTTAGAGAAATTTTTATTAAAATAAAAGTACAAAATACGCAGCAATACTCCAGCAAAACACACGGAGTAGATGACAGCGCCACTCTACCGTCAATAAAGTCTGTCAAATAGAAAGCCTATATGTAAAATGTACTCATACTCTGTTTATCTCCTTCGATCAATTCTCCATGGAATACTTCAATCTCTTCCTCTCCTTCCTTCTCTTCCTTTTAGTCATATTTCTCCTCCGGCGGCATTCTTTCGGTGTCGGGAAACGGCGGCTACCGCCGGGGAGCCTCGGCCTACCGTTCATCGGAGAGACGCTCCAGCTCATTGCCGCCTACAAGACCCAAAACCCAGAGCCCTTCATCGACGACCGCGTGTCTCGATACGGCGCCGTCTTCACCACGCACATATTCGGCGAGCCGACGGTTTTCTCCGCCGACCAGGAGCTGAACCGGTTCGTTCTCCAGAATGAAGGCCGGCTGTTCGAGTCGAGCTACCCCGGTTCGATATCGACTTTGCTGGGGAGGTATTCTCTGGTGCTGATGAGCGGGAGCCTTCACAAGAGGATGCATGCGTTAACCATGAGCTTCGTCAACTCCTCCACCATGAAAGATTACCTTCTGCTTGATATCGACCGGTTGGTCCGGTTTAACATGGACTCTTGGACCGACCGGATCCTCCTCATGGAGGAGACCAAAAAGGTACTTACTTACTCTAATTAATACCCACATTAATTAATAAATTTGTTTCGCGAAATCCGTCCTGCGCTTTTAGGCTACAGTCTTGAAAACTCCGTCAAAACGAGCGATAATAAATAATCAAATAAATTGTTCGGCATAATTTAATTTAATTTAATTCAAAACGATTGCTTCTAATCTACTCAGTAACATTCACATTAGGATAACCATGGTTACTTCTAATACACTGATCAATGGCGAATACTTACATTAAAGTAAAATTGACTTTGATTTTATCAATACACCTTTTTTTCTTCAGGGGGTGTGGGGATGGGGATTTAAGTAATCGGAGCTGAAACTCACTCCATTGAGTTTCAAACCCTTGTGTGCTTAGGTGGATTCGAACTCGAGACCTCCCGTTAGGTGATTTTAACAATACACTCCGTAATTGTCATTTTTTTTATTTAAAAAAATCATATTAGGGTATTCGATTATTGCAAGTAATTTTACTCAGAAAAAATGAGCAAACCACTTATGGGTACTCCATATAATGTACTCCTTCCGTCCCGAAATTAACTTCTCACTTTTCTTTTAGGATAGTCCTGAAATTAACTTCTTATTTCTCCTCACTTCCTTATTTGACAAATTATCTACATAAAAAAGTGTCAAACAACGCCAAACAGTGTCGAAACAGTGTCAAAATAGTAACAAAAGAGTAGAATATAGTCCGATATCTTATTTTTGGTGCATCAGGAAGAAAAAGAAAGATAAGTAAATTACTCCGTATAAACGAATGTATATAAGGTGAAAATATATACTCTGTACGCATGTCGCCTTATTTATTTTTTTGCTTTTATGAAAATGAAAATAAAATACGGGAGATATTAAAATAGTACTCGGAATGTTTTACTAAAATCTTTAGTAGATAAACATCGAACATGCATCATAATTTGTTTATTAAAAACTTCAATTCTCAAATCCAAAACTCCGTACTAAATTGATTAGCTTGCTTGTTGCTCCTATGGACTATGGAGGGCTCCCTTCCATGGCCTTCCATGTTACACGCTCTCATTGTCTTCTTTTAAAGGATACACACACTTGTTGTCTTAACAATTATTTTCTCACTCTTTTAAATGGTTAGTTTGGTTGATATGAATGATATGATTAATTGATTATACTACTTTTTTTTAGTAGTTTTGTCTTAACATTTTTACTTTTTTTAGTAAAAATGATACGAATATATATACTCTTTATATATCAGTAGAAAATCATGATCAGAGTAAAGTGTAAGAGCTCGGACTTTCTATTATGAGGGGTCCAGATTCAATTCCAATGAAGTGAGTTTAATCCTAGTTTAACCCAACTTCCTGAGTCCCCTTCCTCCCCTTCCTGACCTGGGTATAATAATATTCATTTCATTTCACATTAAACTCGATAAAACAATTCATGACTAATCCTGAACCCCGGGCATAGACATCAACACAAGTTGGGGTTGGCCTTGGTAAGAGATTTTAGATCTACATTTTCGCATGTATTTTAATTTTATGCATAAAATACAAACATTATTTAAATTCTGGGTGTTCAATTTTTGGAGTTTTGAGGCACTCTCTGCCTAGTTTACTCAAACGGTCAACCTCAGGGGCGGATCCAGAAAGTTACAATGGGGTGGGCTGGGAAAAAAATTGAAATACACATAAATAATAATAAGTCAAGTCGTCAACGCTTACAAATTCATTAAAACATCATTTAAGTTGTGCCCTACGCGACTTCAAAGTATAAAATTCATCAATAATAGAATCTATATCTATATTATTGACAAAGTCTCATTCAATGTAGATCATCAATGAATCTTCAAGAAAATCGTCTCCCATTTTGTTACGAAGTGCCGTCTTCACATGCTTCATTGCTGAAAATGCTCTTTCCGTAGTAGCAGTAGAAACAGGTAAGGTCAAAACTAGACGTCTAAGATTTAGATATGCACGTCTAACTTCATCTCGCACATTAACATGGTATTCATGAATTTGTTTTCTTTTTCCCGGATCCCTCTCAATGGAAAAAGATGAAGGCAACTCAAAATTGGAGATAGATTGGATTTCAGGGACTAGGACATGTGAAGGAACCTCATTGACTAGATCTTGCACTATCGTAGGTATAGGTTCAGAACTTCCTTCACCGGTTTGACGATTCACTTTTGAAAAGAATGATGAAATCAACTTCTTTCCCTTCTTCGCAACATGTTCATTATCCATTCTAAAAAAACATTTTCAATATTGGTATAAATTAAAAAACTTATATAAAAAATATTTAACAGATTCACTCATTCAGTCTAAAATGCACAATTCACATATTCACTCTAAATTCTAAAATTACTAGTATTGTTCAACCTAAAATGCACGATTCACAGATTCACTCATTCAAAGTTCACAGATTCACATCAGAAGTTCATAACTTCACTGATTCACAATAAAAATTCAACACTTCATCCCTGAAATTATGAAAACAACAAAGAGGTCAGAGGATTTACCTGGTCGGGCAGTCGGGCAGAGGAAGAGGCGGTCCGCGGTCGGGCAGAGGAAGAGGCGGTCCGCGCCTCCGCGGTCTCCGGTCGGGCAGAGGAAGAGGCGGCTCGGTCGCTGCTCGCTGGGTGTCGCTCGGACGGCTCGGTCGCTGCTCGTTGGCGTCGGCCGCGTCGCTGAGTCGCTGCTGCAGTGCTGCCTTCGCCGGAGTTCGCCCTTCGCCAGTTCGCCCACTTCGTTCGTTACTTCGTTCGACTTCCCTCACTTCCGCAATCCGCAGGGGAGACCGACGGTAAGACCGTAAGAGGCTTAGGCATTTAGGAATTAGGCAGAGGTGGGCTGATTTTTCTGGGCTGGGCTGGGAATTATTTGTGGGGTGGGCTGACATTTAAATTTAGGGTGGGCTTAGAACAAAAAATAAACCAATCCTATTAAAAAAAAAATTTGGGCTGGGCTGAAGCCCACCCCTGGCCAAGGCACCATCCGCCCCTGGTCAACCTACTTCTGAATAACATTGAGAGGTGTGTTTAGGACAAAATTGAAATTTTAAGTTTTGAGGTGTTTTAATTGAAATTTTCTGATCTTACTTGTTTAGGTATGGGCTGGTCCGAACTGGTTTAATCTGATATAGTTTTTGTGTATTTAAAACTATAATAATTTAATTTGGTTTGTGTGTATTTTACAATTATAAATTCTATCAGAATGGTATTGATCCCTTTAATTCTGATATTTTTTTATCTATTTTAATCTACGGAGTATTTTGCAAAAAAAGGTAGATTCTATGGTACCCATAAGGTACCATACTTTTGTCCACATGGACCAATAAAAATGTTGCAGTTGAATTATTTAAATCTAAATTAAAAATGATATACCGATTTGGACCAATCAATTGAATGGTATGTACGATACCCCATTTTTTAAATGAGTACAAGAGTTCTCACCGAAAAAGGTACGGAACCAATCAATGAGATGGTGGACCCGATCATCTGATATGACCCATAGGATGATTAGGATCGAAGATGTCGAATTATCCCCCGTACTATTAAAGAATAATTAAGCTTGGTTTTAAAAATTACAAACAATTAACTATAACACGTTTTGAAAATCAACCATAAACTACAAAACATTTTAAAATATTGGATTGACTGATTCTGCTGGTTTCCGTTGAAATTATATTTAAATATATTTCATTAACAAATTAAAAAAAAGTATATGAAAAATAATTAAAGTAATTATTTACAATAACTTCTGTCAATACTATCAGAAAAGTAACCGCAACCTTACTTTTTATTAGTATTACACAATTCAGCGTGCGAAAGAAAAAGTTATACAAGTATGAAAAAGTTGTTTTTCTTGTAGTGAAACCTCCGTGTGATATAAAAATTCGACGCATTAACCCATTTGATTTAAAAAATGCACCAAATCCTCATGTGTTATTATTTATTGTACGCAAAATCCCTTATATGAACAAATTTGATTCTCAAATAAAAGAAAAGTGATTAATATTTTTGTATGATTTAGAAATGTTGAAAAATTTACTTGCATATTCAATCATAATATAATTAATATTAATAAAAGTGATTTTAAAATTGTTAAATTTATTGATAAAAAGGTTCTGCACATGAATAATTATAACACATGAAACTTTGACACATTTTTAAAATCACATCGCTTAATTTTAATTTTGAAGGTGTAATAATGGATTCAAAGTGGAAGTAACCTCTCTTTATAAACAGTAAACACGTGTATAGTTTCTATATTTAGCTGGTTATCCTGAATAATTATCCTCATATGTTTGGAAATTGAACCTTTTTAAAAGAATGAGACTTTTCGATTATATACAGTTGGAAGCTAGTTTGACTTGTGGCAAAATAGATGTTTCGTCTGATTATAGGTCGACGTGTTGACATAAAAACCCCATTTGATCCTCTTAATGAATTAATTTAGCTCTTTTGCCTATCGGAGCCAGCGTAACCTACTCTCCACGGAATAGTAAAAGTCAAAAAAACGGACGACAAAGAATTATTGTTTTTCAGCAGACCACCGACACTAGATGACTAGAGTCGGCAAAATTAGTAGCCCAAATTGGGAAAGTTGGCAGCCAACCATAATATGGAGTACTAATTAATACCCCCATTAAATAACTTCCAGCTTTCTTTGGATTAATCCCCTCTTTTACTCGGTAAATAAAATTTTATTAGTAATTTTGGTTAAAAAATGGTATTTCAGGAAGTCAAAGAAAGAAATATTTTCTAAATTTGGAAGTTTACATAAAAACAGAGGGAGTACAATACCACCAACATTTTTTTTCAAAAGTATTAGTGAAATGAAACATATGTACAAAATATGACTATAGTATTGTCTCGTTGTTACTAATTAACTGTAAAGACTAAAGATTGAACATTTATGTTGATCATATATTCATATATATCAATATATGTAATTATCTCTAATGATAATGATAGTAATAATAATACTATGTAATAATAAACATCATCATAATAACATCATTGTAATTAATCGTAAAAATAACACTACGTACTACGTATATAGTAGTGTGCTAAATGTATTATTGTTAGCCTTGAAAATATTTCAAGTTTTAGTATTGGACAAGTAGTTTTTTTTTTGTTTTCTTTTGTTTTGTTTGGATTCTTTTCCGATCCTATTATTTTAACCCTTTTTTCTTACAATGTACATTTTTTTATTTCATCTCTCCGTGACTTTTCGTCAAGCTCAGCTTAAAAAAGTGGTCATGGTTCACATAATTTCAGCAATACTTTTTCACTTCATTCATTTTATAAAAGCCTGACTTTATTCATAGAGAATTATAGAAACGTAAATCCAAAGAAAGAATGATGAAATTTGTTTGTTTTGGTTGAATTCCACTATCAAGCAAGTCATCTTTCCTCAAATGATGTTTAAACAATGTTCTTTGACAAACCAATGACTGCCGTTTAAATTTAAATAAAGAGTCCAAATATGTTATTAAGAGTACTCCAATGGCCCCAGCGGTTTTTCACTTGTCTTTTTGAACGTCTCAAGTAAAGCTTTCCATTACAATTTTGAGCTGTGCTAGGTCTACACATTTTGGTTACACTTTTCGTACAATCGTCTATCTCATGTACAAAGAGTTGTCTGTCTATTGACAACATGTAGATTTGTATGTGGACAGACAACTCTTTGTGCGTGAGACACAGACGAGTGTACGAAAGGTGTACACCAAAATGTGTACACCAAACATTTTTCTACAATTTTAGAAAATAATTAGAACTCTTAAATGACAAATCAATATCTCAAATACGGAGTATTAAAAATACACGTATAACATTATAGTTATCATCAATGATATCATTACGTTATATACACATCAAAATTACTTTTAAATATAGATATATGAATTACATTATTTATTTATTTATTTATTTAATTAGTGTCTAAATAGTCGTGTCATTTTTAATGAGGTAGTATGCCACAACCACAATTCAAGAGTGACCGTTGAGACTTGAGAGGTAGTCTTATGGGTGTAGCTAGAGGGATATGCTAGGCCGATGCCCACCCCATAATTCGTAAAAACGTAGTAAAAAGTAACTATGAGACAATACTATAATGGTCTTGGGGAGGGCCTATATAGAGATTGTTTTTTCAAATATTGTAATTATTGGTCAGGCTAAACAGAAATTCCGAACGCCAATTACATTATAATAATTGGCCATTATTAGAGACTATAGAATTTAAGTATATGGTGGTTGCATATGCAGATAACGTTTCAGCTAGTGGTGAAGCAGCTGATGAGCTTTGATCCATGTAAGTGGACCGAGAAGCTTATGAAAGAGTACATGCTTGTCATTGATGGCTTCTTCACTCTTCCTTCCCCTCTATTCTCCCCAACTTACCGAAAAGCTATACAGGTACTTTTACTCTCTATTATTACACAAGCTAAGCTTAATTCATCACTAACATTTTATTTCATTTATAGTCTATAGAAGTATGAACATTAGTGATTAAGTACACAAACACATATAAATGTAATGTTTGTTAGTTGTGATTAATGAGGCTCTTTCTGATAAATATTTTTTGGAATCGGGAATGGTAACAAGGCAAGGAGAAAGGTAGCAGAGGCATTGAATAAGGTCGTGACTGAGAGGAGAAAGGATAGGGAATGTGGAGCAGAGAAAAGGAATGACATGTTAGAAGCGTTGTTGGAAGGAGATGGAGGTGTGGAAGGAGGCGATGGCAGCGGTTTCTCTGACGAGCAAATAGTGGATTTCATGCTGGCTTTGTTGGTAGCCGGCTACGAGACAACCTCCACCATCATGACCGTTGCGGTTAAGTTCCTCACCGAGACGCCCTCTGCATTGGCTCAACTCAAGGTATGTGCATAATTTCATCTTGATCAATCTTTACTTACTCATGTTAGTTTTTACTTCTTGAGTTTCAATACCTATGCAGTTTGTTTGTTTTAGGTTAATTAAAGATAAAGGTAAATCTTTTTTAGTAATATTTCAAGCAGTATCAATAAGTATCATATTTTAACTATCAAATATGATACGAGTAAAAAATTGATGGTCAAAATTAGAGAGTAATACGGATCCTGCTGAACCTAGAAAAATAGAACTGCATGTCAATTTGAGGCAAAAACTGTGTTTTTAGATTCTAATTCGACTTAAACACATATTTATTGTGATGAAATTTTTATCATCGACTCGTTGTATTCCTTTACCTTATACCAAATCAAGGAAAAATATAAGGGTAATATTAACATTTGTGTATTAATTTTTTGTATAGTAGTGTTAATTTCTTTTTAAGACATTCAAGTAAGCAAAGTCAGAACATGTTTTACTCCTATTATGAGCAATTTCTTAATTTGTTTTTGGGACAAGTAGCAAGTGTTAATCAATATATCCCGGGTCAAATATAGAAAAACGCTCATATATAAGCTCTGTTACCTAAAATATATAGGTAATGCTGTTTATTTCATCTAACATTATTCTCTTATGTATATGTTTCAAGAAAGAACAAGATGACATCAAGTTGAGGAAAGGTGGCATAGAGGCGCTGGAATGGGATGATTATAAGTCTATGCCTTTCACCCAATGTGTGAGTAGACCTATTATATTCAACATGTGAATTTAAAAAAGTATTCAAAAAATGACAGTCACATATTTTATTTCCAGGTTATAAACGAGACACTTCGAGTCGCGAACATAATTGGTGGAGTATTTAGGCGGGCCACAACAGATGTTAACATAAAAGGTTAGATTAAGACTGCTAAGCCAGATGTAATCACTGTTCAAATTTTGAGCTTCTTATTACCAAGTTAGTTAAATCTAAGCTAAATAGTTCCCTGCAATTACTATATACCTATACGTATATAATCTTAGGAGGCTACACTATCCCTAAAGGATTCAAAGTTTTTGCTTCATTTCGAGGAGTGCATCTCAATGAGGACTTGTTCAAAGATGCACGATCATTCGATCCCTGGAGGTGGCAGGTATATATTCTTGGATCAGGGAGAGTCTTCTGCGTTATAAGCCCTGAGATATGTGTCTCATGCTTTAACCACATGAGTGTTTGTTTCAGTGTGATCAGGGACCAACTAGTTCAACGAATGCCTTCATGCCATTCGGGGGAGGGCCAAGGCGATGCCCGGGGTACGAGCTTGCCAGAGTAGAGCTCTCGGTCTTCCTCCACCACTTAGTGACTCGTTTCAGGTACAATAATTAACAATGTTCTTTAGAGTAATGTAAATTTGCGAGATACATTACTATAAGTAGTGCACTACTCATCTTTCTGTTCAATGTTTAATTTGAGAAACAGTTGGGTACCCGTTGAAGAGGACAAATTGATTTTCTTCCCGACAACGCGAATGCTAAAACGGTATCCGATCGAAATCCAAAAGCGCGGTTTTTCTAAGAACAACCAAAGAGGCTTAACAAAGACGAGTGAAGCAGAGACACAAAATTAGTTGAAAATATTCTATTGCGTGTAATTTTAAGATGAGCTTTAGAGCGTTTGTACATATATTATTATTGGTCAATCATTGTTCTGTATTTTAACTGTGGTCAACACAATAAATGTAATCGAAAGACCAATTAATGTTTAACGAGTTTAGTTGATTTACTGGTCAACGTAAATAGAGTGAGTCCATGATATGAGGATAGCATCAATGTATCATACTAGCTTCCTTTTGAATAACTAGTATTTCATCCGTGCCTTGATGTAATGTGCATACTTAACTAGCAAAGGGCCGGATACATTGGCCGCATGAATGTAATATGATGGCAACCACCTTGGCAGCCCCTGGAGTGAAGCAAGTTGATGCTGTTAATTTTCAGAGGCAGGGTTACTACAATCAGCCCTACAATAAGCAGTAATATGGGAACTACAGGCATGTGAACCAGCAACAATTTAAGGGCTATAATCAATATGGGCAGTCTCATTCACATCAGGCCCCTCCTCAAGAACATAAGATGCCTGAATGACAGCAAGCTCACATCAAGGTTCAAATTTGAGAACCAAATTAGTGAGTTGAACTGAGAAGCGGTATTCCAGCCTTGCACCTTTTCTAACCATCCATTTTGGTATTCAGTTTAGAGGTGAGGTTGGATTCCAGCCTTGCACCTTTTCTACAAATCGTTAAATTTTTAATGATAACTTTTCCTTTCTAATTTTCAATTAAAATACTTCAAGTCAGACTTTTTATTAAAGTTACAAATCATTAAATTTTAAAATTTGTTTTTAGTTTTACAAGTTCTAAATAGGGTTGAAGTTTTAGAGTTTTTAATTTCAAATCTTGATTAATTTTTTCCTAATGGGTATGTGTTCACTATTCAATTAAGTGATTAACATTCTTCAACTAACATTCTTGAAAATGTAATCCCTGAGTGAAGTTTCATTTTTAGATAATTATTTCTAAGAATGTTGTCAAATGTTTAAGCTCATAGTGTTATGGCCTTAATGTTTCTGGACAAAATTGAACATTTCTTGCCATGTTCAAACTTCGGAGTGAATTGTGAATTTCTGATTCATGATTAAATCATTAAATGGATTAAACATTTGTTGCTGGCAGTCCATGATTAAGTCCAAACTCCAAAGTATAATTACACTTGGTATCAGGTGATCCAAGTATAACCACAACAGGAAAAAGGAATAAGGTGTGAGCCTGGTTTTGGAATAAGGTTTCAAGTGATATGGACATATGGTTCATTCATTAGCTCATACTCATGCTCCATCATGTGTAGAATGAGTTAGAATGAATCCACAATAAATTTACATTTACCTTACGTACTCACTTTGTGCGAGCCTACTTTTGGAGATGCTAACATGCTAATGAGCAAACTTAATAACAAAAATTAACTCATTGCAATCTTTCTGTAGGAGCTAATGAATGAATCATATTTTTATATGAAAACAACTATTGATATTTGTGTGTAAATATAAACTATCTTTTACTCTTATTTGGTGTGACTTCTTTTGATTTCTCTGATAAATTATTTATTCTTCATCCCCTTTTGTGAAACTAGATCTTTAGCAAAACAATATAAGTGCACACTCACAATTTCACACCCAAATAAATGCCAGTGAAATAAAGACTCAATAAATTTGTAATATCATATTAAAACTTCAGCAACACATTAAAGCTTATCAGTTCCAGAGTGTTAACTTACTCATATATATTAAATGAATCTCCCCTAGCTTTGCTATGTTTTAGTTTGAGGCTATTGTATACTCCCTCCGTCTCGTGATTAACTTCCCACTTCGATTTGACACATATTAAGGAAATAAATTTACTGGGGGGTAAATTTTACTGTTTTGACACTGTTTTGACAACGTTCCGACACTATTTGGCACTGTTTGACACTATTTTGCACTATTTTGATGTAAATAATTTGCCAAATAAGGAAGTGGGAAGAAGTGAGAAGTTAGTTTTGGGACTGTCCAAAAAGGAAAGTGAGAAGTTAATTTCGGGACGGAGAGAGTATTAATACTATGAACTTTTTTTACTTTATAGATGGCAAATTGTTCTTCCCATGAAGAACACTGGAGTTGGACAAAAGAGGAAGCAACCATCAACTTCAAATGTGAGTGCTTTTCCCCCTAAAGACCCTGTTGGGATATTGATCCAGAGGCCCAATATCCGGGTCAAAAAGGCCCAAGATACTCGGCCCAAACAACGAGCCCATCACTCTACGATGAGAAGATCCAGTGAAGAATTCATACCGAACGGGGTTCGATCCCAATAAAGGACGGCCCAGAAAGAAGGTATACCGAACGGAGTTCGGACTATATATCATACTTGGGCCAAATTGACAGCGTCTTCAGCATGGTCCAACATCCCGTTCGAGCAACGGACAACCAGCAAGTGGCCAGGTGCAATTAATGCCAGATCGTGACATCAGCAAGTGGAAACATGGGTGATCAAGTCGGTGGAACAACAGCCAATCAGCATAGAGCAGCCCATGCTCTCCATTAGTATAAATAGAAGGTTTAAAATCATTGTAAGGGTTAGCATTTCAATACTCAGGCTCTAGAATAACATTATTACTCTTGTTTCTTGTATTAAAGCATTATTCCGACCTACCGATCGGGAATTTCCTTGTAATCAGACAGGTTAATCAATACAAGTGGGCTTCTGAGTATTAGTGAGTTCATATTTTATATTTGGTTATACACTTTGATTCTGGACCATTCCTGATATATGCAAAGTTCGTGTTGGGCTTTCGGATCTACGGGACTTACCTTCAACATTGGCGCCGTCTGTGGGAAACTGTTCAAAAAGTTTCACACCCAATTATTCCAAAACAAACTATTTTTGAAAATGGTCAGAATCAGTTCTTATCACACAAACGACGGTTCACGCCGTCACGAAAGGAGTCACACCCCAGGAAATCAAACCCCTCAGGGACAATCCAGCCGAGGATCATATCCTCGTTTTGATGGGGATTTTGTGATTCCTGAAGCTCTAAGGAGAAATCCTCAGGCCATGCGAGATATGGCCCAGGTCATGCAGCACATGGCAAACGAGGAAGAAGGAGGATCCAATTTTACAGGGGAAACTCCACGCACGGAAACGACCACAGCGTCATCCCGCTTGCATGCCCATCGGGATAATCGCTGTGGCGCTCCACCAGCAGCGCATCATAGTCCCAGTGACCGAACCCCAATCGGGTCACAAGCCAGGGGACCTACTCCTATTGGTCGTCATTTCCAGTACGCCGAACGGGATACTACCAGGGCCGCCCAAAGGCATTGGGATCAGGAGTATACAGATTTGAGGGCTCCACCACCGCACCCTTTGACGGCCCAGGAGGAAGAAATGGCTGAGATGAGGAGGCAGATGAACGAGATGCGAGATCAGATGAACAGGGCGCCTGTACAACCCGCCCCAATTCAGCTCCGGATTACTTCCCCTTTCACCAGGGAAATTATGTATGCGGACATCCAAGGAGGTGCCAAACCACCGACCGGTCAAATTTACGACGGGGTGGGAGATCCCCATGTGCATTTGAGGAGTTATCAGGGGGGACTCATGCTACTAGGAGCACCCGAGACTGCTATTTGCCGGTTGTTTTTTAGTACGCTCAGAGGACCCGCCCAGGAGTGGTTCGGGACACTACAACCCGGATCGATCAACAGTTTCGCCGAATTATCAACGTTATTTTTGGCCCAATTTGCTTCCAGTGCCAATCCGAAACGGCATTTAAGTTACCTGACCAGCGTGAAGCAGAACTCCAAGGAAACCTTCAATCAATTGTTAAAAAGATGGAGGGACGAAACTCTGACGGTGGGAAATATGACGGATGATACCGCCATCACCCTATTCACGAACGCTCTCCGAACGGGAGAGTTATACAAGGATTTGAAGAAGAATCCAGGTACAGCATATGTTGAGGTATTAGACAGAGCTCGCAAGCATGCTGCCCTGGAAGAGGAGATAATGATCAGGGACAAGGTCGTTGCGCTCACTGCCCCAATCAAGATGGCCGATCGGCTGGGTCCTAGCTCAGTGGCCGCTATACCTCCCAAGCAAGGGAGATTTACCCCCTGGTCCTGTCCGTGACAACCATATATCAGAACGAGAGGGACAATATTCCCCTTCCGACCGATTCTTCACAATTTATGGGAGCAGATGAGTCTGCTTTTTATAAATAGCATAACAGGAAAGGTCATGCCACCAACGCCTGTAGGGCCCTACAAACGGCCATTGAGGACTTGATCCGACGGGGTCATCTGGGCAAGTATGTGAATAAGGATCCAAGTGCGGTAGGCACTTTGAAACCGATCAGGAAACCCAATAGCTGGCGACGGGATGCCCAACGTGATGCCCAGCCTCAGAATGAAGTATATACTCCCCCCAGGGATGAACCAAAGGGCTCGGGCGGCCCCGGAAAGAAACCTCGAATGGAGGTCAAGGTTATATTTGGGGGCGGGGAGATAGGGGATTCGAACATCGAACGGAAAAGGTTTGAGCGAAGTCTTTATGTGGGATCCATCTCCACTCCCCCCAGAAGAAAGGAAGGACGGATCCAATCACGTTCGGGCCAGCTGATTTACCCAACTCCCCAAGCCCGCACAGGGATGAATTGGTGGTGAGTATGTGCATTGACAATGCTTTGATCCGCCGAGTACTGATCGATACCGGGAGCAGTGTGAATGTATTGTATTTACAATCATTCGAGAAAATGGGTCTACAAAGAAGTCAATTGACCCACCTAAGAACCCCACTGGCAAGCTTCACCGGTAATTGTATTGAGGCTGAGGGGACCATCCAATTGTTGGTTGAAATTGGGGACGAAACGCACAAAGCATCACTCCGAATGACGTTCGTGGTGGTGGATATAAAATGTGCCCATAATGCCATCTTGGGCCGACCAGGATCGGAAGATCTGGAGGCAATAGCCTCTGTCCGCCACTCGTGCATCAAATTCCCCACTGACACCGGGGTTGGGGTGGCCAGAACTGACCCAGCGACAGCCCGAATATGCTACCGAGAGGCCCTGAAGCAGATGAACACCCGTGGAATGTGGGTTAACAGTATTGAGGTGGAGACCCACCGAACGGAGTTCGAGGCACATCCAGAACCTGTCACTCTCCTCGAGCAAATTGACCTGGATTTCCCCCCGAACCGGAAGGTAGCTATCGGGGAAGATCTAGAG